AGTAGTAAGTGCTACTAGTAGTAGTAGTAGTAGTAGTAGTAGTAGTAGTTGTTGTTGTTGTTGTTGTAGTAGCAGTAGTAGCAGTAGTAGCAGTAGTAGCAGTAGTAGTAGTAGTAGCAGTAGTAGCAGTTGTAGCAGTAGTAGGAGTAGTCGGAGTAGTAGGAGTAGTAGGAGTAGTAGTAGTAGCAGTAGTCGTAGTCGTTGGTAGTAGTGGTAGTAGTAGCAGCCGCCCACAGCGGGGACCCAGGAATGGTCCCGTTTGTTTGATTTTCCTTGGGGCGTTTCTGCCGATTCGATTACTAACAACCTGGGTTGCGTGGATATCGTATCGATTCCTCAGTTTCCTGCCCCATTTGCCGTTACGACACTAGCCGCTAGCCGTAGTTTGCGAGTAACATAATGTCTTGGTGTGGCAACGTATGGAACATAGAGGTCCGAATAGTTTGGTATAGTCGTAATAGTTATACGATAAGCCCTATGATAATTTGGCAGGCCCCCCTCCGCACACAAACCCCATTCTGACTCTTAAGGCCCCAACCCAAAAAACTTATTTCTGGGGGGCCCCAATACCAGAGACGCCAAGAAGAGTGTCGGTGGACAGGCTGCGAAGATGAGGCAGATGAAAAGGCCCAGTGGCTCATGTTGTTTTAGGGTTTAGGAGTGTAGCTCATCTTGCCGTTACTATTGATCGTAGATACTGTCATTGTTTATGATGATTAGCAAAGTTCTGCTAATTACTAAATTTCGTACTGTTATGATGTTTATACATGCAGTTGTTACAATTACTACTAGCAGTGTTCCCTGTTACCATCGTTGCTCTTCCCGTGCGTTGTTATCAATATTCACATGCCCCGCGCCTCCCTTGGTCGAAAATGAAAAGCTCTAGTTACTCTAGTTGAAAGCAAAACAGCAGCTTCTTGAGGCTGTCAGCTTGAAGCCATTCCCTAAGCATACCCATAATTCCCTCGTACTCAGCGATGACCTACTGTACCGCATCCTGGTGGGGAGGTGGGAGTCTGCCTTCCGCAGACTGCAGAATCAGGGAGAGGTCGGAAGCCCGGGCGTGGCTTAGAGCATCCCTGACGCTCGGGCCTCCAGAATGGGTTTCGGGTTTAGGGTTTCGGGTTTAGGGTTTGGGATTTAGGGTTTGGGGTTGTTCTGGGCTGCGGCAAGTTTAGTCTAGGCCAGGTGCTCCAGGTTCAACGAGAGCAATTTTTGATCTCCAAACCACTGAGGGGCCCAGAGCCGTAGTTGGCCCTTATGACCGTGTCAGTGCTGGAAGTCCTTGACAGCTGAAGTTCTCGCAGGTTGGACTTGAGCGAAGCCTCCTCCAGAACTCCAGATGTGTCAGCTCTGCTGCGCGATTTGATGCTCAAGCCCTGGTCGGTTGTCGTAGGGCTATTCTCAGAATGGATTCTCGTTTTCAGCCGTGGTGCGGAGAATGCGCCTGCGAAACCACTGAGAACGAGGACATGCAATGGACAAGGTCGAGGTTTGCCATAGGAGATGAGCAAGACAGCATGACATCGAGCCACTTCTTGGGCGATGTTGTTGATAACAAAAGCGCGTATGGTTCGCATAGGCCAGACTCCCTATCTATAGACACGTCGGGACTCAGTGCTAGCGTCAGTCCACAGCCGCGGTGTTCTCCGGTCGGTGAGTTACTGACACAGAGAGTTGGACCGTACCTCGAAGTGGAAGCTGAACTTCTTCGCGGCGTGCCACTCTGCAAGACCCTGAGGGGCATGGGTTGGATGTGGCGAAGGAGCCCGCATAGCGTTCCGGAGGCAAAATGGCAATTCCTGTGGCAAAGCTTGCGGCCTGTCAAGACCTATGATGTTTTCATCTCCCATACATGGAAGAGCTCAGGGTTGTCGAAGGTACTTGCTCTTCTCTTGAGCACAGGCTGGCACAGCGCTCTGGCCTTCTGGCTGTTGGCTACTCTAATCATTGTCACCTTGCAAGTATGTTTTCCCGATTTGCACAATTACAAGCCTTTCGTTCTCAGCAAGCGCATCATGAACTTCCAAGACGCGTGTCCACTTGCACCCTGGACTGTGATTGCAACCCCCTTGGCGATGACTCTGGGCGCGCTGCTTGCGCCGTATCTCCCCCAAAAGCTGATGAAAGAGGGTACATGCTTCCTAGATGCTCGGCGTTCCTTAGGAATCATTTTGAATCAATTCCAGCCTCCGTGGCTAAGTTTCCTGTAAGTTAGTCCGCGCTTTCGAGCTAGGCAGACCACGTGGTTTAGGATCCCAACAGGGTATATGCTATAAGGCCTCTCAGGATTGACGGTACTTCACGGGTACTGGGTCTATATTTAGGGTTTGGGATTTAGGTCGCAGACTTCCCATTTCTTCGCAACTGGCAGTACCGACATGCGTGACTGTCATCCTTCCATGCCTGTGACATCCGCTGATACGTGTGGTTTCAGAAGCAATCATTAGCATGTGTTTCGTCTTGCATGGAACCATGCCTGCATTATGCTTATCAGAGTCTCAGTGTATGCTCACAACATTCGCAAAAACAAGTATGGCTACGTATGGGCTTTACAAGCATACATGCATGCATGAATAGAAAATAGTAAAAACATACAAGGATGGACAGATAAGTGGGGAGATAAACGGATGAATCGGTACCCAGATAGATAGTCAGAATATTTGTCCCATTTGCACCGACAAAAACGCGCGCAGTGTTCGTTTGTTTGCTTGCACACACACAACACAACTACAGGTGGTCGAGCAGAAGGGTAGACCGTCAAAAATCGAAGGCAGTGCCAATGGGTATGCGTTGCAGAAGCACATGAAGACCTGCACACAGATGCAGATGCATACACGGGCGTAGATACTTCCGCATGTTTTCGAGTTGCGAGCAGGGTGGGTACAGTGAGGATCTTGGAGAGGTTTCCGCCTTTCAGATTCGCATTGTAGCTCACAGTCACTGAAGGACTGGCAAAGAGTGAGGACATCTTAGTCTTGGGGCCAAGCATTTTCCTCATCTATCCTTACGATTATTCACCCTGCTGCGGCTGGGACTAGGGGTTTCCACCCAAAATCAATCGCAAGAAGATTCGTTCTTTTGGACTGCGCAGCTGGCTTTGTCCGGATGTGACCGGCATGAAGTGAACAGCGCCTGCGTCAACTGAGGATGTTGCTTGCATCCATCAAGCCGACCAGGTTCTCAAGGAACGTGGGATTTATGGCATCGGTGGGTTTCTGCAACATGCGGCTTGTCTCTGGAGGTCGTGTCTGACAACCTGATGGGGTCATCAATAAGACCGGGGTCCTTTTAGGCTTAGGGTTAGAGGCAACTCATCGATGCAATGTGCCAAGGCTGCGGAGCTCCGAGTACTGTGGACTCCTCCTTACCTTACACGCTTGTGGTGAACCTCGGCTTCATTAGCCTTTGTTTGGGACCTTTCTCGTGAAGCGTGCCGCATGGAGCTGAGATCAGTAGCCTGGACGGCCAGACGAGCCGATCGAGGGAACAGACACGAAGACAGACCGGAAACGGACGGCAACAAGCTACCCTCAGCAGCAGCCACCCTTAAGCTCTCTAAAACAAGGGAAGAGCGCCGCTCTTCGCATTGGCTTGCAGGGGGGCGGCAGCGAGAGAGACAACGCCATACAGGTACGTAAAGTTTCCTTCGACAGATCCGAAGACGTCACTGTTATATATGTACACATATTATTCGTAATACTATGATGATTATTATTGTTGTTGCTGTTTGATTCCAAACAACACGAAACTCTCTGAGTAAAACCGAACTTGCCGGCTGTTTTGGGGACTTCAGGAAATACGAAGGGTTGCATTAGGTTGTGCTGCTCAGCACTCTTCCCAAAAAGGGTTTCCGGGCTGCGATGGCTCGCAACAGTGCCGATCATCTCCTCGCTGAGGTATCTTCGAACTCGCGGCTTATCGTGTGGCCAACCCGGCAGGGACACTTGCGCTTAAAGCAGCGCTTTTTGAGCATCCTTGGCTGTGCTGTTCTGGTCAAGCAGGCTGTATATTTTTGTTTATGTAGGTGCTCTTTCAGCTTCACGTCCCAACCCAGGCGGATAGTTTTGACACCAATTTTCATTGAGCACTCCGTGCTTTTCTTAGCACCTGCTCTCTGGTTTGCCTCCTCGTGCTACTGGGCGGCGCTTGCAGCCGGCCTCGACAAGTATGGCTACTTCCTGGGCGAGGCCCTCCCCATTGGACTTGCTCTGATTCCACTTGTGGGCTTTGTCCACGGCCTGCGGCGGTTCTTCTGCGCAAAGCACAAGCTCTTCGAAGAGCTCAGAGCATTCAAGCTTGCATCGGCTGAGTGCAGCGAGCTTTTCGACCACATCTTTGTGACTTCTGCGATCAAGACATGGTATGGCAGTGCCGAGGAGTTTGAGAAGTTCGTGCAAGGAACCCTCTATTCTGAGCTGTCTAACATTCAAACCGTGGATGTTCCATTGCCATACTGCCTCCTCCTTATCACATTCCCAGTCAGCGCTACGATTGATGAGAGCTTGGCGCTTTGGGCTGGGGGGGCACCAATACCGGTGGTGTCTTTGGCAGCAACGGCAGCCTGGAGACCGTCTCGTATTCCATAATTCAGTTAAATACATCAGTGCAGGTCCAGCTAAGCCAGCTAGGCAAGCCTTCTTGCATGACTGTTCTGCTGCTCCAGAAATGCCCCCATGGCTGTTTGGGATTGAGGTGGCTTCATCCCTGATTGGACACGTGTACTCCATATGTGTTTGTTGGTGCCTGGTTAGCTTCAAGCTTTTATACTATCTCTGCGATCGCTTCGCAGTGGCCAGACGCACCGGGTTCGCTGACTACTTGCAGCCTGGCACGACATGAGTTTTACTGCTATCAGTCTGCCTACTGTCAGCCATTGCCGTTATTGTTGCGATTCCTCCTCGTATAAGTCTTGCTGTTTCAGTCCAACTACAAAAATCTGGCTGATTGAGTTCCTCTACAGGACTGGGAGACATGTTGGCTGGCAAGACAGGTACTAGCAAGAGACCCTTGAAACTGCTTTCTGCAAGGGCAAATCGGCTAAAAGCAGTCCGAGCTTTGCATCGATTGCTGGTTGCCTGCTCAGGCAAACTCTACTCATTTACTTGTCATTCTCTCTGTTCTTCCTCGTCGGAAGCTACACAGGCCTTGGTGCAAGAAACAACCAACGACGTAGGGACGCATAGAGTTTAGGGGACTGTTTTTAGGGTGTACTGTCCTGACTTGGGCAAAGGGTTGAAGAGTGCGAGCTTCGACAGGTGAGCTGGCCTACCGGCATGGGCTGGAGACCGCCATTTGCCATGCTAGACTCCTGGCTCAATTTGGAAGAAGTTCCTTTGTGCCATTTGCGGATGTCCGGGTGCACCTTTTCGTAAACCCCTACGCCCTAGGCATTTGCACGCTGGTTGCTTGCTGTACGTGTGGCTGGACTTGGATCTCGGAGCGACTCTCTGAGATGAAACTAGGACGACAGCAGCGCCAAGCACCGAAGCCGTCTGCCGAGAACAAGCCAGGCCTGTGTTTGTGAATGTGAATTCGCAGATTTGCAACCAACAGAACGATGAGTGTTCGTGTTTATTTGGATTTTTCTCAGAAGATGCTGCGTCAGATCAATCATGCTGTTTCCGCCCAGAGCTGCGGTCACGAAGGCTCACTAGAAGGTGCGACGGGTCTTGCGAGTTTATGGTCGATCTGACTCTTCCTCCTACTGACCAGCATTTTTGTTTGCCAGGCTTCTAAGAAGCCTTGGCAAATATGCCCATTGGCAGATCCGGGTTTTAGATGCTGTCTAAGTCTGTCCAAGTTCGCCTGATGAGTGCTGAATGCTTGAAAAAGAGTTTGGTACTCGTGAAGCACACCAGAAGCTTGCTATCACTACCTGCCCCCAGAGCACCAAGAAGTCAACGGACCTTATCCTTGTCAGCACAGAATAGCAAGCAAACTGTCCTGTGTAGGTGAGCGATGGTAGGTGCATCCTCGTGCTCTTCTGGCCTAGGTCGTTTTCCGCAACCTCGAACTCGAACTACTCATAGTGTGGTGTGAGCTGGAAGGCTTGTCCCGTGAGGTGCACTGCGACTTCTTGCTGCAAGCCTTGGAGCTCGCGGGCTTCACGATCCTGCGCCAAGCCTGGCTAGACGAGGTGGGCAGCAAAGGATCCGTTGCTGCACCTTACGCTTGAAATCTGATGACAAGATCCGATGAGCTTCCTATCACTCCGCCAAAGCCCGAGCCCGGCCTAAGCCTTTCGATAATCTTCGCGGGTGCCAGTGGCAGAGTGGACAGGTGGTGAGCCAGATCACGAGGCTTCGGGTGCTCACAAGAAGATTTGCGCAATGCGAGGATGTTTGCTGGCTCTCGTACTGGTTGTGTATTCCTGCACTGGCTCGTCTTTCTGGTTGAAGTTCTACGGTGCGGCAGCCGATGATGATGATGATGATGGCGATGGTGATGTTGGCACGGCCAGGTTGACTCAGCAGCTGCGGCTGCTGCAGATGATAAACAGATGGTGACGGTGAGGGCGATGCCAGTGCGGTCGATGATGTCCCGATGACTGGCCTGATGGCGGGTACCAGTCCTTTTATGTTTGTGTGGTTACTAATCCTCACGATAAGACAAGGGGTGTCAGCATGAAGGTGACGGCCTTTGCGATGATACTTGATTCCTGCCACTAAGCTTATGTTTCCTCATCGCCATTGTCCGTGGCTTCATGGTTAGTCACAGTGAGTCAGTATCAATATCCTTGCTTGCATTCTTAATTGCCGGTCCCTTTCAGTTGCGGTTGATGGCTATTTGCATACTCATTTCCACTGTACAAATGATCGCCAGCGTTTGCTATTCGGTTACGGCTTAGGGTCTAGAAGTGTGTAAACGGTTTCGTTTCAACATAGGTCATGCAAGCGGTCTCCTTTAAGGCAGGTTTCCTCCCTATTTTTCTCAGAAGCCTGCACGGGATTTTGTCAAGTCGGGTTGTCTTACCGAGGTTTAGGGGCTCGAGCTTAGGTGCAAGTGAGGATTCGGGTTTGCTGCACACTTTGGTCTTGCCGGTGTTGAGTAATGGGCTTCAGAATCGGCTGCCGTGGATCAAAATCCTGCAACATCTCTCACAAGCCTTGTTTTTGGTGATTCTCCGCGCCCCTGCTCAACATTGGCTGTGAAAGTCTACGGACCGGATTTGTTCCACTGGCCGAAATCTTGCACCGCTCTAAGTAGTCCTAGCTGCCAAAGCTAAGGAGGTGGTGGGATTTGATTGGTCAATCGTTTGAAGTATGCAAGTATTATTATGATAAAAAAAAACCCAAAATAGTATTATTATGATAAGGAACCCCAAAATAGTATTATTATGATAAGGAACCCCAAAATAGTATTATTATGATAAGGAGCCCCGTGGTGCAAGATTTCGTCCATCCACCGTGTCACGCAGAGTCGCAGACTGTGGAGTCGACTGGAAGGTTCCATGTGTCGGCACTGTGCGGACAGGACTTCCTCGGCCCTTTGTCATACTTGTGAGTACCATCACTACCACAATCATCATGATCGCAACAGTTAGTCTCGCAATGCATCATGAAAAGCCTTGAGATCAAAGACAGAGAAGATGCGTCAGTGGCAGATACAACTCATTGGACTTGGACGAGTTCCTACAGATGCTGCACATGTATGAGGACACCGCTTTCATTCTGTGGACCTGGCTTCAGGGATTCGAGATTATGAGGGTTTGGGGGTCATGTCTCTAGCGACCGGAGTTCCGAAGTGACCTCAAGCTGCATCTCGGCAGGAGAGACACTATGCAGAGTTTGCGAAAGTATTTGAGCACTACGACGATGACCAGAGCGGCACTCTGGAGGCAATGCCGAGGTGATTCACGGTCAAGCCTGCACTACACCAAAAGCAGTGCTGCGCAGGTGGAACCGGGCAAAGGCTGTTCCAACCGATGTTCAGCCACTCCTTGAACCGACAGCGCAAACGGCCAGCAAACTGCGCGACTACTAGAAGACTCAAAATAGACTATGCATGAAGCGCACCAGAACGGGTAATGCCGAGAAGAAGCTCGGAGAGTCTGCAGCGCTGGAATTAGAACACGCATTGCCTTGAAGATGGTAAATACATTTAAATCATGCTAGATGAGACTAATAGAAATAGAGAATTGCTTTGGACAGGCCCACGAGCTCGCCAATTTGCTTGAGCAGTGCGGGATCACGGCCTTGGACCAGGCCAGTGTGGTGATGGCTCTTTGAAGGTTGAAAGCGTCGGGATTCAGAAGCTTGAATAGTACTTGGAGGATCATGGGACTTAGTAAGTAAGGTTATAAGTACCCTAATTGGGGTTATAGTTATAGTTACCTTATTTATAACCCCAGTTTCTAAGTCCCATGATCCTCCAAGTATTGACATTACATCCTCTTCTGGCCGTGAGCCTGAGCCCCGGACCAGTGAACCCTATCCTATGCAACCCAATTAAATTGTTGATATAACATCGCATAGCATGACAGACGCTAAACCCCAAACCCTAAACCCAAAGCCCAGACATGGGCGAGAGAAAAGAGGGTTCAAAAAAACGAAGAAACCCTAACCCCTAAACCCCATAATATGGGAGTTTCCGAAAATAGGGGGTTCCTTATTTGGGGGTCCTTATAAACAGGATCCTACTATCTAGGGTACTATATTAGGGTTCCCTATTTTTGGAAACCCCCACATAGTGTAGGCATCTGTGTGTTTTGGGGCAGGTCCTCAAGGAGATCATGGTCGAGGTCTGGTGCGGGAGTCTTGCTTGGGATTCAGGGTGCTTCGGGGCTTTCAGGCCTTTTAATTAGGATTTAGTGTGTTTAGGCTTTATGCTTTTCGGCCTAGGATTAAGGGTGCTTCGGGTCTCTTTGGGTTTAGGATTTAGGGTGTTTGGGGTTTCTTGGGTTCGGGATTTAGGATGTCACGCCGGTGTTCGTTTTGCACGCTCAACACCGAGGCTGGCGACATTCTGTGTGAGTGGTTGTCGAAATTAGGATGTTTTTGGGCGGTCCCACACACACTGTAGGGTGCTGTACTGAGAGTAGAATTATATAGTTTCTTTTGAAGGACAATGATTTTGACAGTTACCCATCTTTGTAGATCTGGCATGCGTACCGGCGATCTGGCATGCGTACCGGCGCGCGAAACAGAGGAAGCTAGGCGGTGCTTGGCTCCTTGGCCACGCCCCAAGGTTGCTCCTGCTGATCCGGGCTCCATCACAATGGAGGAGTTCAAGCAGGGAACCCCAGACACATACACACGACCGCGTTTAGTGTTGACTTGAGCTGTCGATGCAAAGATGCCAGGCCTTCAGTGACCAAGACCTCTGTAGAGTGGCTTGCAGGAGCTATGTTCAGAGTTTTAGCTGACAGGCGAGTCATCGAGATCATCCATGTCAACGAGGCACAGACTGCTCTGAGCCTGTAGTCAAATGCTCGTGATGCGCCCCGCTGCAAGCAAGACGTGGTATTTCCGAAAGCAAACAGACGCGCCAAGTATAGCTAAGTTGCTACAACATCTGCCACCAGACGAAGAAAGTTGACACGATGCTCCACTGAAAGGGCAGCGCATGCCCGTAGCTTACCTCTATTATCATTATTAATTATTACTACTACTACTACTACTACTACTGCTGCTGCTGCTGCTGCTGCTGCTACTACTACTACTACTACTACCACACCACTACTACTACTACTACTACTACTACTACTACTACGACTACGACTACGACTACGACTACGACTACGACTATTACTACTACTACTGCTACTACTTCTTCTACTACTACTACTACTACTGCGACTACTACTACTACTACTACTACTACTACTACTACTACCAGGAACGACGCTACTTACTTCAAGGAGAAAGAAATTCTTTCATGCTCGGATTGTTTCTTGCCCTGTTCTGCTTCGCGCTTGAGTTGAAGACTCGGGGCATGGAGGCAGACAAAGGCCGCAGAATTCCGAGTCGTCCAGCCGCATACACAGCCCACAGTCCCCTTTTTTAGACCTCTACTGCACGAGATCTAAATGGTTTTGGTTGCAAGAGATCTTCGGCTAAGTTCACCGCGACGGGCGAAGTCAAGTTTCACGCGCTGGTCACTAGCCTCTGAGACATCCACTGTTCGGCTTGCCAGGGATTTTCCTCCCGCGAAATCATCAAGCTCAAGGAAGGGATCATGACAAAGGGATCAGCGGGGGAAGAGGTGTTCGGGTCTTGGGGCCCAGGGTGTGGCAGCTGATCTGATCTGAGGGTTTGCTTTGCAGTTGGTGTCTTTTGCCTGTCTAAGCGGATGGCCCGCACTCGATTAGGATGAGGATGAGCTGGGCCGTGTGTCAAGGGCGAACCGCGTAGTGGAATGGCACTGGATTCATCATGCCCACGCCACCTGACCTATTCTGCTGAATTAGTTTGAGACAGAGTGGCAACCAGAAAAGGCCTCAACTCCACCCTTCGTCTCCCCGGACAGGAGGTGTTTCGCAAGTTTGACTTGGACAGGCCTCAGATGCACTCTCACTTGCAGGTGAAACCCTGCCCTGCTTGATGTGAACGGCAGAACAGGGGACCCTAATAGAGCACCCTAAATAGTAGGATCCTTATCCTTATTATAAGGACCCCAAAATAATAAGGTACCCCACATTTTTGGAAACTCCCAGATGAGCCTCTGAGAGCTCTGTAAGCTCCATCGACAGGGGCGGCACTATGGACACCAGCGAGCTTCACAAAGCGATGGCATGGCTCGGCCACGGTCTGACCAAGGAGGTGACGAGTTCAAGGGGCTTATTTCTCGGGTTCAGAAATCAGGATGGGCGCATCTGTATCTAGAGTCTTGGCCTGGAGAGAAGCGTTTCTTCTCTTTTCAGGCTGTGTAGGGCACATTTGCTCTCGTCTCTTAAACGCGTTTGTTTGTCTTCGGCCGAGCGGATCTGTGCAAAGCAGCTCGGCGTTTAGCGAAACGAGGATCATCGACGCGCGTGTATTGCCATGTTGCTTGTTTCTCCATGTCTGGGACCGTGCAGAACTCCAAAGCATCGTGGCTGTATTGCTTGGTGATAAGCTGCAGCAGTTGGCAAGTTTGCCTGTTGACGGCATCCTTGCCAGGCATGTGCGCGTAATTTCGGCTGTCTGGTCTGTTGAGACCGTGCGATTGCACAGCAGATGTCTGACTAGCCATGACGCAATGAGGCACCACGAAGCTATATCTAGAAATTGCCGACCGTTATGCAAGCAGTGACGGCAAACGCCACAAGTCAAAACTCGAGGCCCGGGGCCGAGGATGCATCAGCAAAAACGAACCCAAACCAGCAACAGATTGAATAAGGAGGAGAGAAGCGCGAAGCATGCACAGGAGACCAACATCTATGGTGCACAAGCATGCAACGTGTTGCATAGGCGAGACCACGCAAAACTCGCGACTGAAAGGACGACGACATGACTAGGACCAGGACGCCTTAGAAGCAATTGGACAGGTTTGCAAATCGATGTGGCATAACTTGATTACAGTTGATTACATTTTAGCGCTTGAGCAGTCCTACATGTCCGTTCGGAGACGTCCTGTGCCAGGAGGTGCAGCTAATCTCGGACAGCTGCGATGTCGGAGGCGCAAGACTACCTCAGCATGTGGCAAGCTGGAAGGTCCTCGGCCGTTTCTCGGGAAACTTAGAAGGGCCAGCTGCTTGCTTGCCAGTTCCAACAGAGTCCTCCTTCAGCGGACAGGTAAAGGCGTGCTTGAGGAGTGCGAATTCTTCGGCTTCATGCGAAAGGTCAAGGAGAAGGAGGCCCTCGCTTTACACTCTCTGGGACATCTCAGGGGGTCTACAGATTGGAGATGCAGACGCTGGTTGCCTTTTCCCCTCCTTCAAGACGGTTTCATGGGAATGTCATGCTGGGCTGCAGCTCCGAATCCAATCAGAATTGCTTCATGTGCATGAGACGATGTGAGATTCAGGTTCGATGTTTTCGGGGAGTGAGAGTTGGTGGAATGAACATGATTCAGCCTGCTCCCGTCCAGGATCCCCTATAGTCCCCGGTAAGAAATGTACTAGAGCAGACCTCAAAACTCTATTCTAATTTGTCTACAGTCAAGATGTCTCAACAGTCAGTTGTCTCACGGCAAAAGTCTGCCGCTTGGCTGTCAACCGACCCTGATCTGCAGATCCTCATGGTGAAGCGGGAGTTGAAGAAGCAGCGCCCGGTGGGCGGTGCTGTGCCGCTCAGCTGAAAACTGGTAGTCGAATTGTTAGTTGAAGTGGCCGGTTTCGACGAGGAATCCGTATGGGAAGTCTGTAACTTTGCACGTTCATGAGTTCATGAGGCTAGCTTCTAGCTACGATGTATGAGTGTTTGTTTATGAGAAGCCGAACCTCATCAGGTACATGCAGAAACAGCTGGATCGCGTGCTGAGGACAGGATGCGTTGCACTCATGCAAGCCGTTCGGGTGCATCCTGCACACGCATGCACACACACACACATATATATATATATATATACAAAGAACAGAGAGAGACTCACTTCGCGCTCTAGTTGCATGGAAGCAGAGCCGGGAAGATGGCAAGCCTCATACACAAGGTTGTATCAGACGTGCGACACAGTCTCGGGCTTTGGTGATATCATGTGATATCGGACTGCAGCCGCACCATATTGTCATTGCTCGCCTGTAAACCCAACACCTTGTGAGTCCATGCCATGCCCGTTGTGCTGGCATAGGGCACATAACACACACCTACGCGCACGTGTGCACGCACAAAGGCAGATAGAGAGAGACACCTGAGCGCACGCACGGAGACACCGGCACAGACAGAGGCAGCAGGGAGAGACACCGACACCCGCACGCAAACGAGCACGCGCACGCGCATAAAGGCATAAAGGCACAAGTACGCAAGTGCGCGCACGCACACCAACCTCCACTGTGGCACCTCAGCATGATCGAATCGTTTCATGGCAGGTCCTTGGGCTACATCCCCAACGCTCAAGCCATCCGCGATGCTGCTGAGGAGAGGCTTTCAAGTTTTTGCTCGAGCATGACTGGAAGGATCTGCGAGCACCCCGCACGCCAGCTCTGTCAGAGTTGTTGCTCAACAATTTTTGTGCCAGATGCACCACCTGGCGATAAGTCAATCTCCCGAGCGGCACTAACCTAGAAAACTTGGAGTCCTTCGCCGGCACTGACTTATGTCTGAGAAACCCCGAACCGAAAAGAAGTCTGCCTGCAGGATGCTACCATCATCCGCCGGAGCTCTCAGAAGTTGCTGGGTGATTGGCCTAATCCCTCTCTCTTACCACTCCCCTTGCGTCTACCTGTAGTACTGCAACAACGACAACAGCAGCACAGCAACAGAACAGCAATCACCACTTCAACAACACGGACCACGACGGCGACGACTACACCGCTACTACTAGTGCTGCTGCTGCTGCTGCTGCTGCTGCTGCTGCTGCTGCTGCTACTACTACTACTACTACTGCTATTAATACTGCCACTGCTACTGTTACTGCTACTACTACTACTACTACTACTACTACTACTACTACGACTACTACTACTGTTACTAGCAGTATTATTATTATTATTACTACTACTACTACTACTACTACTACTGCTACTACTACTACGACGACTACTACTACTACTACTACTACTACTACTACTACTAGTTGATACGACGACGAGCTGCTACAATCTGCTACCACTGCTACCGCTCACGCTACAACTAGCAACTACTACTACCACGCCACCACGTGCTGCTGCTGCTGCTGCTGCTGAGACGACGACGCCGACAACTACGAGAACCTACTTCCTCATCTGCCTCCAGTTCGAAGATGGTGTGTTTTCTACTTCCACGATTGAGTTGGCTGCTGCATCTTCGCTATCATCACCACTGCGAAAGCCACAACGTTCAAGCCGACAAGGACCCGTACGGATGACTCACCGTAGTGATGGCCAGCTGTATCGACTACTGCATGTTAAGACCCCCTTTCCCTCGACCGAGGTCCGAACTTGGCTGAGGTGCCGAGTTCTCCAGAGCTCTCTGCTTTCATCACAGTCGGGTGCAACAATGTGCGGCGACTGACGACTCACAAAGGTGCTGTTCGCGTGCCATGCGAACAGTGTGCGTGCACTGCAGGTCGACAACAAACATGTCACCACTGGGCAAGAGGAAGCAATGCTGGTTAATTTCTATAAAACAGCGGCCAATCCCTGTCAAAGTATCCACTTGCCTTGAAAGCCGACTTGTTACAGGAGTTCTATGGGTTATTTTGCACTGATATCGGGAATCTGAACAAGGGATGAACAAGAGATGTGCAAGACACATTTCAAAGTCCTTATGCGACTCCCGGCATCTCTAGACCCACAGACTCGGAAAGGAAGGAGGGTGAGGGCGGGGGGGGGAAGTGCCAAGAAGCCTCCTTTGTTGACAGGGCATTGACCTGCACGGGCAGGGTCGGACCGACACGAGTTGGAGCCAGCCGTTTTACTTCTCCTTGCTCTGGTGTGTCGCTGCAACCTGCAGTTGCACATGGCAGGTGTTCATCCATGGAAACCTGCTGTGGGTGGGTAAGCCCCCCAGCTCTTGAAGTGAAGTGAATACCGCTGCGCCCCTTTCTTCTATGTGTGCTGAGCTTGCTGACGGCTGCAGGTTCAGCGGCAGCAGGCCAGAGTCGTGCCATGTAGTGGTGCATGTGGCAAGCAGCCGAACTGCAGAGCAGCTTGGACAGCGATGTTGTCAATTTTACTGCGCATCCTGCAGGCGCGGAAGCGTCGGCAGCACCGCTGTCCGTGCCGGCCTGGGCTGTTTGCCCCACATGTTCCTCAAGTGGTCTTGCTGCTTCTTTCGATCATGTTCAGATGGCTTTGACAATCAGGGAAGTGTTTGTTTGCACGCCGTGCCGAATCCTGAACATCTGTGGCACGCTGCCTCATCGTGAAGCAAGAGCAGCGTCTTCAAAAACAACTCTGAAATCTCAAGCCTGATACTGCCGACTTCTGAATATGCATTGCATCAGTCCCAGACGGGGGGCACAGAACGCATGTCATGTTGAAAGTCTAGCCATCTGTTCGCGAGGCCGAATGTCCTGAGGAAAGCAACTCCCGCCCTTACATTGAAACGGCTCGTGACGATTTCCTCTGCTGATAGAAAACTTGGGCAGCGGCAAAGAGAGGGAAAGACATGGTTCCCAGGGCGGCTTTCTGCTCTGTCGTCGATTTCTGGCGCTGGACGCCGAGATTCGAGCAACCACAGTGCGCCGGCTGCAAAGACCTGTTCAGATGCTAATTCTGTGAGTATCTTCGCTACTAATGTCCGTGGCAGGTCGTGCCAGCAGCACCATTATGCCGAGTTCTCAATCGCCTGCTGCAAGCGGGAGAATGGAGTGTTGTACAAACCCAGCGTTGCCACTGTGGCGGTTGAGTGCCATGCACCTGGGCTTTTTCGGACACATAAGTTGTTCCGAAAGAGAGCAAAACACAGTGACATCCAGCAATCATCAAGAGCTTGTGATTCTGTGGGTGGAAGAGATCCGTACGTCTTTCTCCAGCCCCCTGGAGCCGCGACTGAGGCCTGGCTGGACACCCCATGCACTCCGGCTGCCATTTGCACCTGTGAGGGATGCAGGGCTCTGACAAGCCAACCTACTAGAATCTGACGAACCTCCTGAGCGTGTCACACACTGGATCATGTTCGGTACGTTTTCGTCCCACTGCATCAGCTGCCTAATGTTATGTGTCCAAATGGGGTGCTTTAAGTTCTTCTATTCCTGTATTATAGAGCAATTATGCGGCTCTAGCCTGAATACGGCAGACTACATTAACTGATGACGAACAAACCCTCAATCAAAAAGGAACAGAGCATTGCAGGAACGGTCTTGTCAGAAACACATCGGTACCATGTCACCGCTGACAGGTTTGAAAACTAGGTGTCTTAACCGTAGGTGAAGTGTAGAGTCAAGAAGCCCAGCACTGCCGGAGCCCTTGGGCAATCGAACCAATATGTCACACTGGTACACGATGATATTGCTCTTGGCCAGTGGTAACGTGCGCTCCGACCGATACAGTAGTCAAAGCTCCTGTTCGGGGCAAGCGAGCCACAAGCAGGGATCCGACTTAGGACGCAGATAAGATGCGACAAGGCACTACGTGAGCGAAGAGTTGTGTTTTGAGCATGTAGCGATGCCCATAGACCAGATTACACCGCACGCTCGACCTCCAAAGCGCCTGAGGGCCTTATAATATGTGTATACAGTATCATATATAGATAAATACTACAATACCTTCTATATGATATCTATATACATACATATATATATATATATGTACACACTATAAGACCGTATAAGTAACATATGACACGTAACATATAGTACCATATAGTTATGTTGGTATGCGCGGACACTTCGACAGTACGGCCTTCAAGCCACGGTTGCACGGTTGAGCAAACTCGAAGAAACGAGAGTGGCGAGTCAAAGCAAGGACATTCACGCCGTCATGCCAAAGACCATCACGATCTCGAACTTCTTTGTTTTTCTGGAGGCGTCTCTCTGGACACACCCAAATGCAGCTCAGGTTCGTGGGATTTTCGTATTGGTGACCGGTTATGCACCAACGACTGCAGATCTGCCAATCCAAGGAACACTCTCATTGTCTCTTGCCGCAGGTCTACCGATACAGAGAGGGCCTTGACAGGAAGCAGGCGCGAAAATGCTGCTTCTGCTAATTAATGGCTCATACAACGTGAAGTGATGACGATAGGCCCCTGAATCAGTGGCTCAGAGAGACAGCGCAAGGCATTTGTCATTGAAGCTGCGAGCTATCTGGGTAGATGCAGTCGGTGAACGGCTTGCTGGACCATGAGCTGGGTATGAGATGCCTAGGACCTAGGACTGAATCATGCAGGAGCTGAAGTCACACCCCAGACCGTCTGCACCATAGAAGCCTTTGCTTCCCGAGATCATGGAACTTGACGCTGCCTTCAACAAGTACGACCGACGTGGTGCCCTGTTTGCATTCCTTTATTCGTGGCACTCCGGGAAACTTCCATGGCCCACGTCCACGGACTACGGCTGATCAAGAAGAGTTCTGGGATGTTATGGGCCCTGCTTGGCAGATCAAGACCCGGCTAAGCAAGTGTCTTGATTATGTAGTTAAGCTTGTGTCCTACTATGGGGGCCTCCTTAATGACAAGCAGTTTTTTGGGAGGTTCCTTATTGGAACGTGCGTATGATATACTATTGTGGGGCTCCTTATTGGGTTTTTTATAGTCGAATATACTATCTTGGTGCTCCTTATCATCATTGTATAATATACATCAAAAACTTACTCTGATGATTACCTGTAGCCCAAAGGACGTGCCCTTCTAAGGAACTATATATATATATACAAACCGTAAGAAGGAACCTTAAGAAGGTAGGTCTTTTCGGCTACAGGTCAGGCACCTACATTACGTGCCCAGGCTTCGGAGAGATCGACGTCAAAGATGTGGGCAAGGCTGCCTTGCCCTTGCATGGCCTCTTGTTATATTATCATTTTGATGATTATTATTATTGTTATTGGGGATATTGGGGTTGTTATTCCGTGCTGTTATTGTTCTTAAGTCTTATGAGTGTTATCATCGTTATTGTTATTAGTACTATCATTATTGTTTGTGCTCTTTCCATTATGACTTCTGTGTCTATAATTGCTGTTGTTGTCAGTAAAACTATGATAGTTATTCACTCTTATCAGGTTGTCACGCTTTGTACGAATTGCATGCTCGCATCATGTCAAATCTCTGTCTGCGTGGTCAAACTTGCACATTGTCAACATGAAGACGAACGAGCATACGCGCAGCTGCACCGATGCATGTATACGTTTTTATGAATAGAACATAACAGAGCACATAGAAAGGTCTCGGTGTTTGGGACACCCAAGAACCGTGCTTCCACTGGAAGCGATGGCGGCCTCTCTCTGTGCAGTCGCTGCAGGTACTTCGCTGGATGGGATATCCTGCCAGCTTCGATGTGCAGCAAATGCTCGTCAAGGAGGCACTGCCTCATAGATTCGCGTGAGGGGGGGTAGCGAAACCTTCAAAGCGTAGCCAGGTGGACATCGACGAGTCCAATACGCTGGATGCCGTCGAGATGAAGAAGCTGGTGCGGAAGTTCCAAGAGAAGGCTTCGAATCTTCGAAGTCTTTGCTAAGTTGTCGGCGTGCGCATAACACCCTCGCAGCCCACCGCAACAGATGCGGCAATGTATACATGCCCATTCCAATTGACATGTAAGTGTGGATACATATGCTTTCGTGTATATTCGTGTATATATATATATATACATACAGCATGATGTTTGAGTTATTACTATAGCTATTGATTGTTAGTATTATTTGGTCGATTACTGCACCATGACTTTACATGCAGCCACGTAAGTCGAGAGTGCCCGCATGCGCGAGGTCAAGTCTCCGCAAAGCGGTTACAAGTAGGTTCTGAGCGTGTAGAAACATTGGAAACTGACGATGCAGGCTCGAGAGTGGTCGTTTAAACCCTTGCTTGCAGGAGCTGACGTCATGGACGACCGCCTTCAACCAAAGCCTCAAGAAAGGCTGTGGCACCTTGGAGGTCAGCACCAGCACGGATCGATTCGGGTTGGTAAGGAACAGAAGTACCCAAACTTTCTGATCCCATGCCCTGAGGTGCCTGCATGTGCTCGCACTTTGCGGAGCTTGGGCATCAAGGTACCGTGACGGCACGTCGGCAAAGGTTTCCTGGCCGTTCACAATACAGTATGATACACTTTTTCCTAAAGTATTGTATACTATACTGTAATGATAGTGCGAGCAACAGCGTATAGTATAGTACAGTATAGTATGGTATAGTATAGTATAGTACAACACTCACAGATCGGGAGTGCCTCAGGCCTCAGAGTCCGAGGTCGAGGAGATCCGCTGGCGCCTGAGACTGGCCGTTGCATTTTGGGGATCAGCCTTTACTGGGCCTTTGTCGGCCACAACTTTACAGTGTTATAACAAAGCCCAAGAAGATTGGAAATGATCGTATTGACGCCCCTACATTCCTGCATTACAGGTAAAGAGACAACTCCTTGACATGCCGACACTCGTCAGCGTTGGTCGAATTGTCGCTTCTGTTCTGGAACCACGGCGACGATCCAGAACACCGAAAGGATGACCATCGACTCTACCACCACCAGCCCGCCATCGCACAACCACACCACCGACCGAAATACTACTGGTCTTACTAGTCTCATGATGGGTCGGTGACGGGTAGTGGTGGTAGTAGTAGGAGCAGGACTAGGAGGACTAGAAGTACTAGCACTAGGAGTCGGGGCAGCAGGAGCAGTAGGAGCAGCAGGAGTGGGAGTACGAGTTGAGGAGGAGGAGGAGGAGTACGGTCAACAGTGGGAGTCAACTTCGTCGTAGTCTTAGTCGCTCGTAGCTGCAGCCGCTGTCGCAGTCGCAGTCGGAGCAGCTTGTAGTGATTCTAGTAGTGCCACTGGACCTGCCATCATTAGTTACAGTAGACTATTACAAGTAACAGTCAGCGAGACTCCTCAGTGCTCGATCGGAAGCAGATTCGAAGATGCAGCCCTCGCTGGGACGCATATCGCGGTCACCGTCCCTGCTCAGCTCCAGGAGCCTAAGCCGCACCCAGCCGAAGCAGTCACGGGTCCAGGTGCAAGCATCGCAGCCAGCTTCCCGAGCAGCAAGAACCGTCGATTCAGCCAGCAGCTCAGATGGGTTCTCAGGTCAATGCAGGCAACAAAAGCATAAGGCTTCAACAGGAGGTGCTGGAGAGCGAAACGCCAAAACCTTCCCTAGCCCGGCAACCCAAGTGTCAGCCTTTACAGCACCAGGCTCCATCATGGCCTCGACGCCGGCAGAAGCCCCTGCACAGAAGCTGGGCCCTCCAGTGAGCCTGCTGCTGAGCCGCCCCTCCAAGGACAGCTCTTCACTTCTCATCTCACCTGACAGTGAAGAAGGGATTCGAAGTTTGTTGCGGCCGTGCCGTATGTGTCGTTTCGGATTCCTCATCAGTACCGCTTTTTGAACAACAAAAACTACCCAGGGTGGGGGGGAAGCCCGTGGCGATCTCTGGTGTGGCTGTTGCATGGCAAGGGCAAGTTCATCAACCCCTGAACACTCGTCAACCTTCGCAGCTTTGCTTCTGCATGCCGCTGCACTGTTCTTCTGCCTGAGACAGGACAGGATCTCCGTCACGTCGTGTGTGAACAGCAGTTCCTCAAGTTTCGCCGCCATCTCCACGAGCTCCAGCCAAGCGCTCAGTCGGACTCAGTCGGCTGGGATATGGAGCATGCACGCCGACCTCAAAGAGCGGTGAGACGCTAGAGTCGTCGTAAGTCTTCCTCGAGACTTCCTTGGTCCCGGCCTGTGCTTTGCACTCAGACACAAATTAATACAGCAGGGTAGACTATAATATAAATGTCAGTCACATCGCACAATGATACAAATAATAGGTATGCCGTCATTCCTCGAAGCTGATTTTCTGTTTCCGAAACCAGCTGGCAGAATCTCCTCTCCACTCCCCTTGGTATCAGCAGTGTCGCTTTCTGGCTCAACTGTGCAAGGAGCACATGCGGGAGTTTCAGAATAAATGGGGGTGCTGTTGATTGCCTAACACGTTGTAGACAACGCACGATTCAGGCCTTTCACAACTCTATAAAACCCGTGAACGAAACCTACAGCCCCTCATACAACCCTCATAGTGCCTCCTAGAGCCCTTGTAAAAGCCTCATAGACCTCCCGAGTTTCTGAAACCCCGATGAGTTCGATGAGTCTCGCTGCGACTACCGAGGCTCCGAGGAGAATGTAGAGTCGTCGGATGATGATCTCGAGGCCTCACAGAGGTTTCAGGGTTCAATTTAGGCTTTAGGGTTTGGGGTTCGGGGCTCTCACAGGGTTTCAGGGTTCAATTTAGGCTTTAGGGTTTGGGGTTCAGGGCTCACAGAGTTGCACAAGGGGCGTTACAGTGCTATGTGGTTTATGCGGCGTGCTCATGTTGTTTTGGAAGGGTGTCAGAGGGGTTTATGAGGGGTTCATGAGAGATTTTATGAGGGAATCATAGCGCCTCATTGGCGGAGATTATGGGTTCGAGTAGGACCTAATAGGCTCATAGGGCTTGTGGTGCTCGGCAAGGGCTTCCTCGGATGTTATAAAAAGGTGTTGCACAAGGGCCTGATAGGGTCTCATACCGGATTTCTACACATCCTTTTTGAGTGTTTAGGCCCCGTTGAAGTTGCCTCGTGGGGGTTTCTAGGTGCAATGGGGTTTTGGGTTTGCTTGGGTTAGTCGCAGAAGGGCAGCTGCAAAACTTGATTCTGTGGGAGACGAAGCCTTTCATCTTGGCATCTTAGTGGTAGGTTTAACTAACTAAGGGCTTCATAGGGTTTTATAACGAGTTGTTTTAGGCGTCCTTTTTCCCTCTTTGTTCCCGCTCTACCCGTGCAGTCGACCCAGGACTTCACGGGCAAAGGCATCGACCTGGCCGTGTTCCACCTGATTTGCGCCAAGCTCGTGGCCGATGCGCGAGACCCAGGGCGCGGCCCGTTTGGCCTTCCGTTGGCTCCCAGGTTCCTGTTACCATCATAGCATAGACACCCCCGCCTCCCACCCAAAAAAAGGAAAGATCACCTATTCTAGCTATCAGGCGCCGGCATTACATGATCCCCATGCACTCGTCTGTCTTGCGTGACATGAACAAATGTTCCAACCCGCTTGTCTTAGCCTCGGGCTTCGAGCGAACATGGTCAGTCTGGAAGCTGTGACCATGAATTTCAGAAGCCTTTTGAGTATCTCACCCTGCTCATCATCATCTCCACGCCAGAAATTGTTGCCTTGTATATACACTATATCCTGCTGCTTGCTGGGTGCCGCATCATGGCGCGTGCTGCCCAGCGACTGACGCATTTGTGCGGGCTCCTCCGCGCCAGCACTCGCCAGCCGGCAGTGCGATTCGCACGCTGCGCATCGACGGCAAGGGAGGAGCACTTCCTTGATGTAAACGGACGGCGTTTGCAGCTGGGCTCCGCACGAAGTTCTTCACGCATCACATTTCCACATGGCTGCTTCATTCGAAGCCCTGAAAAGGTACGTGCTGACAGCAGGAGACCTCAAGGGCTCACCAGGCAGGGACAAGCCTAGGCCCTAGGCCCATCTTCACCACGGATCCTTCCCTGTTGAAAGCCTTATGGATAGCAGGAAGATAGATGCCAAGCAGCTTTCGAGCTCCTGCGCAGGTCTACCGGTGATATGTCTGCCTGGTGCTATGGGGACAGCTGAGACGGACTGTCGAGCGTGCAAGCATGTCGGTCGGGCTCGCCTCCGTCTGTTTCTGTCCTGTTCTATGGACCACTTCTACCCTGCAGCCCAAAAGCCCCATACTTTTGAACCCCTACACCCTGAACAGCCTTAAACCCGAGAGGACTTTGCTGGGCAGCTGGACGGGCTCTCGCAGAGGCATGCTGTGGTGGCCTTCGACCCACGAGGCTACGGAAAGTCTGAGCCTCAAGACTCTGAAGGCGAGCTGAGTGCGTTTCCGGAAAGGGGCGCTCGAAAATCGCATATCAAATTCGTCATGAGAATAAGAGTAGTACGTAATTGTAACAAGAAGAAGAATAGTGACTCATAATATCCCCTTACAGCCCCTATATAGCCCGCCCCCCCCCACCCAAACATGCCGAGGTCGCGACCGCCGAACAGAAGGTACCCGGCGGACTTCTATCACCTGGACGCCTCGGATGCTGGAGCCATCATGGACTCGCTAGGCAGGGGTTCAGGGATTTAGGGGTTTAGGGTTGAGGGATCTAGGGATTTGGGTTTTTTTTTTCGGTTTAGGGTTTTAGGGTTTAGGGTTGGGGGAGCCGGTCTCGAATTTCTCATTAACTTCGTCGTTGTCCTCATCCTCATGCTGTTCTGCGTCTCGGAGGATGCGAGCAGCTTTGGAACGTTTAGGGGGCGTCTCGGTCAGTGTGTTCGGAAACGTTGTCCGGCCACTGCCTAAACTGGATTTGGAATCCATCCCCATGTTCATCTGAATCAGCCCAGTCAACAACGAACACCGCGTCCTCATCTTCATTGTCTTCAAGAACAGTACCACGATGCCTGCGCCAAATGGGCGTAAGCGCCTTGATAGAGAAATTGCGACACCGGGTTTCAATGAATGCTCCAATCACAAATCCCACACCGCCAAGAGCCAGATGGAGTCGCACCATCTTAAGATATCTTAACTTTGCTGTGATTCTGAGTTTATGACACTTCAGGCACAGCCGCCGCAAACTAAAAAGAATAGGGTTTGTGGTATATTATACTATAATTCTAACAAGGAACCCCCAAAACCCTGTTAGAATTATTAAGGCCCCTTCAGTAGGCATCGGCTCCTACAACGTCATCGGATGGAGCGACGGCGCCATCTCTGCGACCATCCTCGCCTCCCAGAGGCAGATCCAAGGAGGTTTGGGTTCAGGGTCAGTAGCCCTAGTATTAAAGGGTTTAGGGTTTAGGAAGTTTAGGGTTTAGTCTATAAACTAGGATGTTTATGAATAATACTATGAGTATGAATATCAATATTTGTGTCAATATCAAGCTTTAGTATTAGTATCGCGATGAGTACTATTACTAATCTTATCTAGCTCAGGTTTCGGGACTAGGGAACCCGAAGCACATAACTGGCAGCTTGGCGGGGGGGGGGGAGTGCGTGAAGAGCTGATGTGTGTGTGTGTATGTCTTTAAGAAAATGGATAGATGTATACTATATAACAAAAGTGTGTATCTATATCATATATATATATATGGGCATTGATCTAAAGGTCCTTGTGGCTGTATTTATACAAAACGACCACTGGTATAGCATAACATGCATCGCGAAAGTTCCGCGATGGGTCTGCTAAAGAAAATTATTTTTCTGCGAAAGTTATTGTGTTAGCCTGTTTGCCCGCTATTACTACTACTACTACTACTACTACGACTACTACTACTACTACGACGACGGCTGCTGCTACTACTATTTCTACTACTGCTGCTACTACCACTACTGCTGCGACTACTACTCATGCTGCTACTACTACTACTACTACTACTGCTGCTGCCAGTACTACCAGTAACTACGTTTCTGTGCTACTGCTACTACTTCGACGAACGGTCAGTACTGGTACTACTACGGGTCAGGAGCAAACATCATCATAATATGTGTGCATATCTGTATAAGGGCATGTGTATATACACACACACACAGTTAGTTATATATATATATATAAATACAAATATAGATATAAATATCAATATGGATAAACAAATAAATATAAATAAAATATGTATATGTACACATATATATATATACATATATATATATATGTATTAACATATATATATATGTATATATATATATACATATATATATATATATGTATATACATGCATGAGCAATGCCGCTGTTACCCACAGCCCTAAGCGCCAAACCCAGGTCTCTGAGGCCAGCTCCGTCGCTGTTGAAGGCCGTGGTTGTGTCTACGGGGTGCTTTTTTTAATTTTTTGTCGGGTGGGATAGTGTGATATTTGGGTTTAGGGTTTTAGGGTTATATAGTGTGATATTTGGTTTTGGAGGATTGTTTTAGGGTTTGAAAGGGGTTTTGTCGTGCTTTGCAGTGCTATGTAGGTGTTTACAACGCATTGGATGGTTGTTCAGGTTTCTTTTACAGGTGTTAATAGGATCTTCACAGGTCTTATAAAGTTTGGCCCAAAGTTTGATGTCTGCTTTCTACATTTTCTACATGGTGTAGGATCTAGGTAAGGAGTTTCGGGGCTCAGGGTCCAGCAATATGGCTTTTAGAGGAATCTTGTACCAGTATGGTAGAACGATGAGACAGAGGCGTGAAGCATTCCAGACTTTTCAGGCGGCATCCATCTTGGATTTGTCCAAGTGTCCCTTGTCTTTGCTTCCTGCCAAGAAGATGATCGTACCATGCGCCATAGAGATTTTGGTGACGACAAGATGGTGTTGTTGGCGGGGCATGGCGATTGCGAAGATTACTGTTGGTGCTCGTTACCACCATCAACATCATCAGCAGCGCCATAATACCGTCATCATCTTCATGGAGACGCGACACCTGCGTCACCTCCTCCACCTCCTTCACTTCCTCCACCTCCTCCACCTCTTCCACCTCCTCCAGCTCGTCCCGCACCACCACAACCGCCATCACTAGCAACAACTGCAACTTTCAATGAAGTCCTATAGCATAGCAGTTCTAGCAGCAGCAGTAGCTGTATCAGCAACAGCAGCTGTATCTGCAAGAGTAGCAGTGATGTCAGGCGGCAACAACATGAGCGACAGCGCCAGCGATTGCAACTTGCAGCAGTAGCACCGGCAGCAACACTTATAAGTACCAGTGACTGAAGCACGGGAAAGATGATGGCAAGTAAGAGCCGCATTAGGGCGACAGGAGACGGTATTCGGGGAACTATAGAGATATTCGAAGATGCGAACGCAGAGCAGCAGAATAGAAAACACTCTCAAGTCCGAACTTCAAGACCCGGAGTCCTAAAGCTTAATAGCTGAATCAGTACACTTTCCACTATCACGGCTACTAAGAAACGCTTCGTGAGGCCTTGTGTCTGGGCTTGGTGATTCGGCGGGCCTCATCTATGCCAGGGACTTGGTTTAGGGTTTAAAGGGTACTTGGAGACCCAGGAAACTTAGTAAGTAGATGATAAATAGAGTTATAAGTACCTTAAATGGAG